CTGAGTGTCTCTTGACTAGGTCGGCGCTGACACTAGGTGGGCTGGTGTTTCTCCCGCTTTAATCAGTAATGCTTTTGGGAGATTTGTCTAGATCCGTGTTCAAGAATATAGAGGCAAAAAACTCATTGAAGAGCTCTGCTTTGTCCTTCCTATGTCATCAACTACCCTAATCATCGAATCTTTCCGAATCTCTCCAAATCAATTCAGAGGGTTCGGATTCGATTCAGAGAGATTAAAGGCTCTCCTGATTCGATTTGGATTCAAAGATTTGGCCACTGAATCAGACTGAATCTCCGCCAAATCGAATCAGCAACTGAAGCTTCACACAACCGTAATGAAATCCTCCAAGTGATCCATTACTTGTGAAAAATGCACATAAACCAAACTCCTATTTATTTGCCAACACTGCCGCCTCCTCCTACTCACTCAGATGCATTGCTGTGTAGTACAGAAGAGATAAACTTCAGATGTGATATTAATTCCTCTTCCCTCGCCCTCTCAAAATGCATCAGGGTTCTACTACGTGCTTTGTTTCTATATGCAACTTAAAATTTTGTGAAGTATAAAAATTAAGCCTTATGTTATGTCACATAATACTATAGCCCCAGCCACAGCATACCCCCTCACTCTTACACTGATAAACAGCAACTGGATCCTGTGACTGCTTATTACAATAGCCTAGATCAGTGGTTTATGAAGTGTGAGTATGCATACAGGGAGCAATAAGGAGGAGGAAAACATCTGGTGAGTAAAAATGGAGGAGAGTGCAGACATACTTTAATTGCTCTCTAGAGACTTAATTTTGTTTGAAAAATATAACTGCTTAGGTGTTAGGACTATAAACATAAGCCTGGATAACATGATACAAATGCAATGAGTGCATTAGTGTCTGCCTGAGTTTGCAGAGCCTCAAAGTACTTGCAGAAGCACATCTTTCAAAACTTTGGGAAACTCTGGACTTGTTCAAGACAGCCCCTCAACCCATATTTTAGTTTTCCTTGTTATCCTTCCCATGAATAAAGAGAGACTATATTTTGTTTTGCAGTGAGGGGTTAAACAGAAAATTGCATGCAAATATATGGGATTCATTAGAAGGTACACCTACAAAAGTGATAATCTTGGTTACATTAGTAGCCAAAGACAAGCTTCTCTTCCTTCTATAACAGCAGTGATCTTAAAACCCCCCCCAAACTTTAGGATCTGTTCACATTACATGTTAAATCATATTGTAAAAAATATATATATGTTAAAAAATACATGTCAAGGGTATCCTGTTCTTTCAAATAGTTCAGATTAAAACACTTTATCCACTATAATCAAATAATTGCTCATTGTTCTTATTTTTGGTATAGTTCAATCTAATTTTCTCTCTTTCAAATTGTTTACCATTTTCCATGTCAGATTCCCACCCCCCCCTTTGGGGGGTTTTGATTGTATAATTAACCTTTTGACAACTGGGAACACAAGACTCCCTGGATTTCCAGATGCGACACACTGATGCATTCTGCATTCTCAGTGATGGCAGGAGCTCAGGACATGTGCCCTGCGATGCTAAGGAACAATGCCCTGCATTAGATAAACATCTTACATGGAGCATGCAGCTGATCGTTAGATCACCCAGCTTTACATACAAAGCACAAGCCATTGCAGACGTCCACATTTGTTAAACAAAAGGCAGTATTCATGGACAACTACAAGGCATGACAGAACTGTAGTACACATGCTAGTAGGACAACAGACTGGTGTACCCTTATCCCACTCACGTATCTGTTTCCCTATTGAACATATGGGTTTCCTATAAAACTGATTTTTCTTCTACAGTCTGTCTTGCGGGCCTCCCAGATGCCTTGAATCTTCATCCCATTCCCCCTGGTTTTCTCTGGTACTCTGTCAGGCTGTCCTATTTAACAGCAAATACCTCTACTGCAAGGGACTGAGTGTGGCTCTCCCTAAAAATCACTAATCCCATTCCCTGAGCTAGTAAGAATGCTTTCCTAAAAAGCAACCAGGCAGACATTCTTATTCTCCCTTCAAAGCTTCCTCATATTTTGCTCTCTGCCCTGACAGCATGAGAACCAGGAACTATGCTCCAAAATTAAGCTTGAAACAGGTGTCACAAGGCCTTTATTTATTTTACCACCTTCCGTCAGCCAATTCTGGGACTTACTTACCAAGCAACATACAGTGTGGGTATGCTTGTATATCTTCATCTATGGCAAGAACACAATTCTACTTGCTATGCCTCACTGCACAATACAAATAAAATCCCCAATTACAAAACTGAAGCCCTAATCCTACTTGTATTGCCTTCCAACAAGCTGCTTTTGGTGATGGATTCTTAATTTTACACAACAAACATCTCAGCAGCTGGAGATAGACTACTGTTCTATGCACTGCAATTGAAATTTGTATTTTTTTTTGTAAATTTAATTGTACATGGTAGCTATAACAGGTTAAATGACTTAGAGTCAGATTTTGCTTTCTGTTATGCTGCTGATCTGGATTAACAAATATGAATCTAGCTGTTTAAATACAATTTTTATAAAATTGTACTTACTCTGCAATCCCTCTGTAGTGTCTTCATCAGTGCACTGTATGTGTCAGAGTCAAAGTATAGTCCTTCATGCATATCTTGCAAGAAATCCAAGTCTTTAAACGTGGGGCTGGACTTTTCCCTCTCTTTTCTTGATGCTCTCCGTTTATATGTTGAGCCTTTCAAGTCATATGTGAAATGCATTTTCATTGCTCGAGGCAAAACGTTGTTCATCACAACAATTCTAATGTTAATGCCCCCTGACTGAACACAGTATAGTCCATAAAATTTTGGCAACAGAGTCCTTGGATTCTGGTTCAGATTCTAAAAGAAAACAGATATTAGATTTTTACATTAACATCCACATTTCTGGGAGTTGCACATTGAAACTTTAAAGAGGAGATGCATTATTTTGTATTTTAGGTAATTTCCCTGACCAGTCAATTTGCTTCAGTCATCATGAACTGAACTTGAGAAATCTCATGCAAGTCAAGTGACAAGACTGTTCTAGTGAAAGCAAAGCATTTGACAGAACCATCGTGGCCAAAAACAAGGCAGAGCCCAAGGCCTTGTCAGAAGTCTTGACAATCAGAAGGGGAGAATGGAACTACAAAGGAAAAAACATATTCTATTGCTTCCAGCAGGTTTTTAATCCCTGACACCACCATATTTCCTCCTCAGGATTACCTTAAGGCAAAAACAGAATCGCTCAACTTTGTACCACATAAAGACATGTTGCCCTCTTGCATCTGATGTATTTAAATTGGGCCAAGAGCACAATAAAAACATAATTTGGACTGTATTCAGCCTTGATGTGCCCTCATGAGAGAATGCTGGGCCAAGTCTAGAGATGGACCAAAACAAGGCTGGGTAACATTTGAGCAGTGGCAGATCAAGTTAACAAAGCTCAATCTAAGGCAGGCCAATGCCTAAGGCTATTAATTTCCTATGCTGCCATGTGGCACCTCATACCACGGATACCCCCACTGCCAAATGCTGCTGAATCACCCCCACCACAAATGCTGCCACCATCACAGCTCCGTAGGCTGGATACAATCTCTTCACAGACCACATCTGGCCTGCAGACTGTCAACTCCTGGACTAAAACCTGTATCTAGAAGGGATGCTTAAGCAAGGGACACTAAAGGGTTTGCATGAAACAGGACCATATCACCTCTGGCTTAGGTTTTGCAAAACAGACTAACTGCCAATTTTGGCCACACTCATTATAGTTCAGGTTGTCATCCATAGAGCACAAGTCTATCATATCCCTACTATAACATCATAATATTTAATAAAAAATAAAAAATAAAAAAAAATCAAAGTATATTTAACATTCTAAATTCAACCAAAGCCAAGGATGAAGTAGAAAAAATGAAAAAAGAAAGCAAGACCACCCTTATACATGCCAGTATCATATTGCCATTAAAAATTATAGAAGGGAAAATTATTTGCAAGTCTGATATAGGAAAAAGTTCCTGTTTACAATTAAGACAAGACAGTCCGTCCATTTAAAAAAAAAAAAAACAACTTTGGTCATGTAATCACATCAGATACATTTTATTTTGGTTAATATTTGTGTGCGTTTAAGTTGGTAGTAGGCACGCTCACAAATAACAAGGATTTTATTTTGCTTTACAACATGTATAATGGTCAACTCAGGTAATTATGATTAAGGACAAAGAAAAAGTGGGGCCCAAACCTGTTCCTTCTGATGCCACGAATGACTGAAATACCAGCAGCATTCTGAGCTCAGCAATGACACTGGGAAATAATTATTTTAAGATTCCAAGACACAAGAAGGAAACCATTCCAAAGTAGTTTAAAAAGAGGAGATGGAGAGAGGAATATACATCTGTTCATTATAGTTATATAGTGCACAGAGCCTCACACTATTACAAGTTTGCCTCTCACATGGGGAACTCAGCAGCTCTTAGGAAGGAAAGCCTTTTTGAAAATTTGGTTCAATTTACTTCCAATGGTCAATTTTTTCACCTCACTGACTAGCAATGCACACAGTCCAGTTAATGTAAGCCCCAAAATAGGCCTTGTTAAAAGCAAGTATAAAAAAATGTTATGAATAGAATTTCTCTCCCCCCAACATGACATCATTGCACTAATGCCTGAGAAAAGTAGATAAAAAGTAGTCAAGAAAGTGAAGCTGACTGATCTGGTTTCTCTGCCTATTCTGACTGCCATGCAAAAGGTAAGCAAGCAAATGGAGAAAAATAAAATTATACTTTAATACTCATTTATTAAGAACAAAGACAGGGATTATTTTATATGATTTGCACTTTGATATTGTCTCTTTAAAGCATTTTGAATACAAGCTTAATTTACTTTAGTTCTTCCTGGTGGACGTGAGGCTAAAAAATTATTAAAATTAGAGGAAGATGAATGAAGTTGTAGTTTAGAAATAAAATTTGTGACTTCAGAAGTTAACCATCATCAGTTACTCACCATATAGTAACCTGGTAGCAACTTCTGAAGAAACTCAGCTTCTTTGTGTTGAACAGTTTTGATGATGAACTCATCGTCGCTAGTTACAAAGAATAAGGACCCACTGGCACCAGGATTGGATAATTCTATCAAAGGTTCACTGCAGACTGAATACTGTAAAAAAAAAATAACAAAATAAAAAGAGAGAGAGAGAGGGAGAAAATGGGATTTTCTGCCAATGCAGGTATGTTTTCAAAATAAACTTCAAACAAAAGTAATAATAATTGATGCAGGCAGGGATGGGAGCCATATGGCTCCTGCTTCCTTACTCCCAAGCTCTCATGACTCCTGCATAATAATAAATGTGGGTGGGAACCATTCACTAGTTGAGACTTGGCAGGGCACAGGCATGTTCCATTAGGCTATGACAGCCACTACGCTTGGCTAAGGAAGTAATAGAAGAAGGTACCAGCTATGCTACCAAAAATGCTACCAAGAGCTTTCCCATACCAGGGGAAATTTCAACCAGTCAGTTGCAGCCAGACTCTGGCCACTTTGTCCCCCAAGTGGCATAAAGTACCTGGAAAATCGGGCCCAGATTTGTGCATATTTGGAATTTCTGAATCCCAAGCCCTGAGATGATATTAGAGGTGAAAATCTTTGTTTAGGGGCCATTTATTTGGGGGGGAAAAGTAAAAAAAAGCACATATTAATAGAATTTAGGCATAGAATAGAAATTTCTAACTCCGTCTCATGTAGGCACAAGTACTCTTTTGAAAGACTGAACTGAATACTAACTCTAATATGAACTTTAATGTCTCCTTATTACATGTTTGCTTAAGATACACATGTTGCTAAACCAGAGTTCAAAAGATGGAATAAAAATCGGACTGTGAAGGATCATTATCTAGAATGTATTTACTTATACACGCCTTCTCCCTCAAGATCAAGTATTGTAATTTGCATTTATTAAAGAAACACAGAAGACGGTACTCTGCTAATGGAATCAGGCGTCCTACAGGAGAAAATAGAAGAGCTATATATTTATAAAATGAATCTTAATTTATATTTCATGTGTCATTTATGTAAAACACTTAGTATCCATCTCTTCTCTCCAAACCCAATAATGGGATAATTCATTTCTATTAACCTTAAGAGCTAGTTTAAAATATGATAACACAAAACCTTCATTAAGAATATCTTTTCCTTTATTTAAAACTGCAGGTGTAGTTAATACCAACAATTTCATACACTCTGAAATTACAGCACACAGCCAGTAGGTAAGAGAGAGTCCCTAAAACAAAACTATACTTAAAACAATAACTGTGATTTAAAAATGATTTGAACAACAGGGAATAAATAATATAAGTAGCAGCATGCTTCCTGTCTTTTTACAGCTGAAAGAACAACCGTTCTTCACCAGGAACATCAAGCCAAGTGGATGAGAAGGGCTCAGCTTCACAGTAAGAAACACTCTTGAGCTGAAACCTGGTTTTACTGAAGTGGAATATTGCCACAGATTCCAAGGATTTGGTTATTTGGACCTAGGTAGTAGGTATTGCTAAAGCACATTTATTGTGGAATCTCCATCCTTGGAAAATATCAAAAGTAGGCGAGACAGACACTTGACTAGTATGGTTAAGTCAGGGATGCTCCTGCTTTAAGCAGATGGCTGGACTAAGTGACCTTCAGAAGTTTCTTTCAGCCCTACTACTCTGATTTTGAGAATAAGGAGGAGAAAATAAACATAGAAAAAAAAAAGAAAAGAAAATATAGTTTAAAAGTGAACTTTGCTCCTAGCTGAAATGTTTAGTGTGGCACACATTTTGCACATAGCACACAAATTAACTAGTATGATGATCTGAGGTACATTATACTATTGGCTCTCAATTCAAGCAAATCTTTACGGCCGGTTACAATACACATTCCTCACTCATCTTACCAGAACACACAGCTTGAGTAATATCTTTTATTGCTTTTTTTTTTTAATAATCTGTTTGGCATTTTAAAATATGGAACTTACATTATTGTAAAATACAGAAATGGGTCATGGGCAAAGCTATTAATTAAGATTTGGGGATTTTACTTATGGAGGGGAAAAAGGGAAAGAATCTCATTTTTATCTTTCCTTTAGTTTTTTAAATATATCCCTGATCAATGAAGCTATACTCAACTAAAACACCACCTAGCTTTTGTCCAAGACTTAAAGAAACCAGCTGAGTAGCTTGTGATCAACAAGGTGCCCTACTGAATGTCAACATTCTGTATACTCTCCAATCACCATTTATTTGAACAAGCTGTTCAAATGTATTTATTCCCATCATCCTGCTTCCTGCAGTGCTTCCCTGCTGTACCTTTTGGAGAAAGGCAAAGCTACAACACAGCTGTGCTCTGCCAAGGGAAATTAACAATATAAACCCACTTAGTGGTGTTGAGATATTATTTTTCCTTTGATTTCTCTCTCCTTTTTTTTTTCCTTGTAGTTTTTTTTTTTAAATCGGGAACCAGGACAATCCCACTGCACCTTGTTCATACACTGCAACCTGAAAAAGCAAGTACTTAAGATACCAGAATTTGGAATCATGCCCTGTATGAAAGACAAGGACAGAGCCAAGAGGTTTTCTATGGGGAACTCATATTTAAAATGTCAACAGAACCAACTTCTAAAAAGCAACTCCCCAAGAAGCAAAAAAAGTTAGTAGCAGTGCTAGAAACCATGCCACTGTACACATGGCCATCCCACATCCGCCATTCCAGGTAAGAGGATAAAAGAACACCTAGAGGTTACATGCCTGTGGCCTAGCTTTGATTAGAAAGTTTGAAAAACGAAAAAGCCTGTCTGAATCTAGATGCAGCCAAATGCCTCAGGATTTTCCTGCAGTGGAAATGAATTTGACCCTTTATAGTCATAAATTTCTGTTTGCACAAAATGTATCTAACTGAACCCAAGGGGAGGAGAACTGAAAATAAGGCATTACCTGCACAGGGAGTTGCCTTATTTTTCCCAAGACCTAGCCATCCATGGCTATAACTGAAGTGGTACAAATGCCTAACAAGCAAAGCATTTGTAAGCCACAGTATACACTGGTGCAATTTACTCTCACTTGAAACTAGGTTCAGCTGCACTTCTACAAGCTGCAAATTGTGAGAGCTTTGCCCACCTACATTTTGCATTTCCATGCAACTTGTACAAATAATCCAATGGAAAGTTGTTTTCAAATAAATGTATTGCCCTGTAGTGTTGGCAATGCTGTAACACTGGGTTAAATGCATGAACGCCAGATACTCATGCAGATTTCAAATAAAAGTAAAACCAACCTAGCAAATGTGGTGGTCAAAGAGGAGAGAAATGTATCATGTGATCCAAATGGATAGATATGATCCAGTAATATTTTGATTCTAGTAAATCATTTTACCTTTTCTATAATTTATCTAGTGGCTTAACTTGCTAAAGAAACAACCCACACACTTTTCAAAAAAACACTTAGAAACCTTTAAAGCACAAGAAGCAAAAAACTACTGAGTTTCTCTCCTTTTGGTGGATCTACAACTCTGAGAAAACCAGAAAAACATGATCTTGCTCTCTCAAAGCTCAAAATGATTGGAAAAGAAACTCTACACTAGACCCCTTTCCATTTCCTTTTCCAGTAAGAATCTTGGTCCAGACCTTCACTGCCAAAGTCAAAGACCCTTCTTGCCCAACAGCAAAGTTGTTATATTTTTTTGTCTGTGCATATGTAAGCACATGCGAGAGAGATTGCCATTTATTAAGTCTGGAAATCAGAATCTCAGAGAATGGAACAGAAAAACAATCTCTACAAGCATATCATTTTTCTCAGGTCATCTTTTTCCACGTCAAGGTCAGAACATTTGTAGGCAAACAGTTTCCCGATTAAGTGAATAAATAAAGCAATTAACACACCAGAGCTCTCAATTAGAATTCAATCAGCAAAATTCACATGAGTATTTCAATCTAATTATAACATTCTGTCAAAATAATGACCTGAATGAGCAGTAATACTCTGATTAATTAACATGGTAGGTTGTATAGCAATCAACTGAAAGCTGAAGAATTAAATGTTTTGATAAATGTTATGCATTGCATGCACATGCACACACACGCGTGCACAATTTCCCCCCCCTTCCCCCAACACCACACAAACATACATGGTACAAAGCCTAGAAAGGTTTTTATGTCCCTTAGGCCATCATTAATGCCATCTTCCTCAGTTGTTATGGAACAAGTATTTACATTACAATTATTCATAGCTCAGAGGAAACTTTAAATTTTTTTTTTACCAAATAATCATCCGGCTTGATACCAAAAAGTTCTCTGAAGTACCGAAAGGCGAGAGGAGCATAGGTCTTAAATCTGAAGTCAGGGTAATGATGAGCAGGGGTGAGATTGCTCCCTTCACTAAAGTGAAAAGACAAAAAACAGCAAATATCATCAAATTTTCAGTTATTTCTTTTGGCAGCCAGTTCTTCGTTAAATGTCACGCACCATAATCATATAAGATGCCTAACAAAACAGGCATGGAAAGGAGTCAGAAATGTGGATTCAGACATGTATGCCATTGCTAATCTATGGAATCTAATGCTCACCAGAACATCTCTTCCCACTGGTCAGAAATAACAAGCCAAGTGCCAAGGGTTTGGAACAGGCTCCCTGCAGAAGTAGTACAGTCATCCACACTGGCGATCTTCAAAAAAATGTCTTGATGCCCATCTTGATGGGATCATTTGAACCCAGCAGTCTTTCCTGCCCATGTGCAGGGCAGAGCTGGATATGTAAGGTCCCTTCCAGCCCCTAACAACTATGAAACTATTTTTTTCCATCAAACACTTCTTCTGTTGATTAAAGGTACTGTTTATCAATGCTTCAGCTTTCAAAGTCTTTTTGTTACTCTCCCCCATTAAACTGATTAAGTGACTACTGTAGGCTCTCTCCATACTACACTTTTTATTAATTTTTTAGTTTGCAAACAGTTACTGGCATACTTGGCTCTATACATGATTTTGTGCTTGTAGGGCAAATGGTAAAAACAACCATCAAATCAACCAGACAGTTATAACATGCCTTGATTAATTCATAAAAGAAGCAGGTTAAGGTAGGGTGGTCCATGCTAGCAAGGAACTAGACCCTTTGACCCAGGGGGACCTCTTTAATCCTATATTCCTGTAACACCTTTATATGACTATTTCAGCCATAAAATATGCATCTACGATTTACTTCTTTTTACGCTGTTTTCCAGCTATATATAAAACAACAATATTTTAATACCTAGTTATAAATGTGCACGTAAAAACAAGATAAGAAAATATTTTACCTTACATTATATTACTATGACTGAAACAGATGACCTAAAATACATTAATGATAGCCAATCTGACTACTTAGTGCTTATACACTACATTATATTACATAAAATCATATATTAGAAGTATACTGTGATGGAACAAATCCATCAACTCATTTAAGGAAAAATAAGAAACTGCATATAAAGTATAAAACAAGTTTTCAAGGCCTACACAAATCTCAATGCTAAAGACTCTCCAGCAGGACCTAATGGGACAAAAAGAAGCGAGGAAAGTTTAGACTGGAAACACTACATCAGGAAACTCTCACAGGTTGGTCATACTTTTTTCCTAAGTGTATAACAATATTGGTATATATTTAAAGCACTGAAATGTGTCATTAGCAGGTCATGAAAGCCTGTTATTTTAAATGAACTCTGTTGTGGATTTTACTGTACATACATCACACCTGTAATATCAAATCAATTCCCTCTAAGTGGCTGTTGCTCCTAAAATGCATAGAAAAGGGAAATCACAAAACTGAACTTTTCCTTCCAGGAGACCCATAAAATCCTTCTGCTCTCCTGTGAAATACAAAGTTTTGTTTCTACCTGGGAGAAATTTTACAATCTTTGACTTCTCCACTGCCTGAAGAAGGGTGTTTAAGACTGAAAGCATGAAAAAAAATAAAATAAAATGCAACTATCTAGTTGATCTAATAAAAGATATTGTTTCTTCCTCAAGAGTTTTGGATGCCTTTGCCTCTACACTGACATGGATACAGCCTATATTCATGAACCTATTTGGGATAAAATTTTCTAAGTTGGGTGTCAGCATCAAGCAAACTACTTTGAAAAGTTTTTAAGAACAAAGGATTTTATCCATATTAAAAAAGTTTAGAACCTTTTCATGAAAAATGCTTGCCCCCAGGGATTTGGAAAAAAAAACTGTCAGGGGAGTTGTCCTGGTGGCAGGAACATATTTTTCATTGCTCCTGTGAAAAGACAGACAAGTCTATGTTCCAAGAGATTCTGAAAAAAATCTCTTTATGTAAGTTCAGTATAGAGCTGTGAAAGCTGACAGCTAAGCTTTCTGCCTACATGGAGTAAGGACGTCAAGCTTGATCGCTTCCATGGGCTGGATCCAGATTGTGGGGTTCTTTGCAGGTCAGATGAAGACAGCCTTGTGGGTTGGAGGCAGATGTGGTTGTGGGGTGGGCAGTGGCAGAGGTGGCATTGGGGTTAACGCAGCACTTACTCACCTCCCTGCAGTGGGAAAGTCACAACGTAGTGGCAAAGAAAACTTGCACCACTGGTAGAACTGCTGTAACTTCATCAGGGCTGAAAAATGTGTAGTGGAATAGCTATTCCAGACTAGCTAGAGCAGTTTAGCTTATACAGGTTTCCCTTGCTTTAAGTGGGTTCTGTATGTGCAAATTCGCTCTTATGTATACCCTTTGTATACCAAAAATTCGTTATATGCAAGGTAAATTTACTCTTATGTGATCAGTGTGGTGGAGCTCGCAGTCAGCTGCTTTATGCAGTGCACTGTAGGAGTGATGCACACCAAAACAGTCTCCTGTGTGGATCTGTGCTCCCCGCTCATTGTCTGCAACATGATTTTCTGTAGTTGCCATCCCCTTTATGCCTTGTGCTTGTGTGTACTGTCTGCTGTTGGCAAGTACCGAAGTATCTTATAAAAGAGGTAGAAATAGGTCTGGGATACAGTTGAGGTCTTGGAACATATCCCTGTTTGTTATATTGTAAAGTGGGGTTGCTTTATACGAATTTGAGTTACACGCTATGTTCCAGGAACACATGTACAGCATAAAGCCAGGGAAACCTTACTGCTACAGCTATGCCAGGCAATTTCCATGTGAAGAAGAGCCCCAAGTCCCTGAAAGAGATGGATGGCATCGTTCTAAAACTTCCCCCTTCTTATTGCGAGTATGCAGAACAGCTAACTATACCATGCTGTTTCCATTAATTACACAGTTTTCACCTTCAGTGCCTAAGGGGAATGTTTTATAGGACTACAATACTGAGCTCAAGTGCAGAAGAACAAAGTTTGACAAACCCTGTAGTTTTCTTGGTCACAGCTGCAGGTAAAGGTAAGGAGGGTGTGTGTGTGTGTGTGCAGATAGATGTATATCTATCTATGCATTACCTATCTTTCTCGTGAGAGAGAGAGAGAGAAACACACCCTGTTAGCTGCCTCTAAAAGCGGAAGTATTGCGATAAAGGAAGTCCTTCAGAAGTCCTGTGGCTAGAGATAAGAGGGTAAAAAAGAACTGACAGGTGGGAGAAAAAAGGGAGCAGAAGCAAACACATTAATCCCCATGGCCAAAAACACTGATCTCCAAATCTGAAAGCAAGGCACTTGATCTGTTTTTTACTTCCAAATTTGCAACTCTCAACCACAAACACATTCATTTTTGATCAAACTGAATTTTTATACCTTTCCACTCTTTGCTGTATCATTTTTTAAAAATTTCAGGCTCTGATTCAGCAATTTTCAGGGCTGAAGTAACACATGAGAAGTGAATTACACACAAACTATTAATTCAGCCTAAAAAAAGGATGTTTTGGGGGGAAATCTCTGTACCTGGCCAAGGGGTACCTTTCTCTACTCATCATAAATACTTACTGTTCTACTGAAGAAAGGGGAAATATGGGAGAATATACAAAGAAAGAAAAGGAGCCAACCTGTCCATTCTATAACAGTTATATGGGCTAGGGACAGAAGATGCACAGACTAGCTAAAGTGATCTGAAACTGGTTCAAACCTATAACAGAATAGAAGCTTAATGCATATAAACCAGTTTCAAAATGGCTGAAAATGGTTTAAGATACACCTGGTTGAATGTAGTATCAGACTT